GCATTGATAAACTGTTGATTCTGATAACTTATTATACAGTGTGATGTGAATAACTATATATACAGCTGTGAAGTATGCAGGCAATTCAAGTCTATCACTTATCAAGTATATGAAGAGCTCATATTCATCTTCATTTCAGATATCAATTGATATACAATCACTCTTAACTTTGTAGTAGGCCTACTTAAGTTCATCTGCTCAGTCACAGACATCACATTTGACACTGTTCTGATAATTATATGTAAAAGATTCAAACACTCTTATTATATTCTCATCAGAGTGAATCTTCTTCTGAAGATGTTTATACAGTTATTTACTAATAATGTCATCTGTTTTCATGAAATGTCAGCAGTCTTGATCTCAGACTGTGATTATCTTTTCATCTCAGAATTCTGATGCTTTCTTATCAATCTTCTTAATACTAATTATCATCTCTTCACTATCTATCATACACAGACTGATGATCAGATAGAAAGACAAAACTGTGAACTGAAAGTATATCTATATCTATATATCATCTACTTATAGAATAACTGAGTAGATCTTCTCATATTAGCTGAATTTACTTACAGTAATTCAGTATATTCTGCTCATGATCTCATCTCATTCTTCATGAATCTAGAATATCATCTCATATCTTTTATCATGTCTAATTTTTCTCTCTCACAATCAGATAATGCTGCTGCAGAATATTATGTAGTTCTCATCAAAGACACTCAGTGAGAGGCTTATAATCATCTTCTTCACTCTCAGAATCTCATGCAGCATTACATCTGTGACAAGCTCTGTAAGTTTTAGATAGATAATCTTGTTTTTCTTAATACAAAGAATATAAAAACATATCATCTCAACTGTAAGCTAGACTACAAGTTTCTTGAACTCTTCACTGTACATGCCTGTGTCAGTACACAGATATATCAACTCAATCTATCATCTTTCTATCATATATATAATGTATTTCATGTCTCACTTCTAGAATCATATCACATGTTCATTCTAAATAATCAGTATATTTCTCTGAAGATTCTACATTCTGATCTGAATAATGATAATGACATTCAAGAGATACTTGATGTCAAGCTTACTCAGAGAAACTGAATCAAATACCTAGTATATTGAATGAATCACAGTTCTCAATTTGATAAATAAATAGACTATGACTATCTCTCTAATACTCAGTCATATCTTGATATCTTCTACACTCACTATTCAATGAGATCTTAACAATCATCAGTAACAAACTCAGTATCAGATATCTTACAAGCAGACTCTGTACATACTAGCATACTTGACTCTTTTCAGACATAATATTATGATATTGATCACTATCAGAAGAATGATCTATAACAAGTCTCTTTATTTTTTATAGAGCAGAGCATGTTCTGCTAAGAAGTAGAACAGAGTATATCTTACTACAAGTTTCAAAAGTAGGGCTGAGAGCTCTCACTACTTCACATAAACTCTAGAGCAGAGTGCATCCTGCTAGAATCTCATATAAACTCTAGAACAGAGTGCATCTCACTAGAATCTCAGAACAGAGCAGAGTGTATCTCACTAATTTCACTCTTTAAGCTTTTCTTTTTTTTTGCCACTACTGTATACTCTAATTGCCTAATTGTCTGTATGTCTTACTATCTATATCACATGTATAATATAATAACCTCACCACTCTGGAGGAGGAATGAGGGAGGTGAGAAGGCAGAGTGTAAGACCTAGAGCTTAGAGCATGCTTACATACACATCATGTGACCCACAGAAGACGCGGTGCATCTTATACTCATTCTCTGCTTCTCTACTATCTAGTTCTCTTCTTCAAGAATCAGTAATATTACATCCTAATATGAAGCTGCTGTCACCCCGATATCCATGTAACCAAGTCCTAACAGTGTTGGCCCTTACGGCCGTTGCGGTTAGCGATCCCACTAGATCACGTGACCCACCACTATATTATGTTCCTGTAGATAGATCTATCAATACAACCTTCAACTATCCTACACAACACAACGTTATAACTTATCCTCCAAGAATAGCATCTGTATGAGTCTTTAGACAGAAATAGAACATGAGAGAATTCTGCTACTGATATTCACACTGTGCTGAGTGAGTGCATGCTCATCAACATGTCATCATCCTTGACTTGGAAATGAGCCATAGGCCCCTGTGCGGACCTCTTGAATGAAAGAATGCCTTGGAGGATTGAAATGAGGCAGATGTAGACAACTGCCAACGCCACAGTAGACAATTTCGGGGCGGGCCATCCAGGCAGGCGAGGACATGCCACTGGTCACCTTGCACTCTCCAGGAAGATCAGTGATTTACGCTCGCGATGTTAACCATGTTGATGGATGCTAGTGTCCCATCGTAGTAGCATGAGTGGGGATAGAAGGGGGCGAAGCACTCATTTTGTGAACAGTCATCTCTGAGAGGGCAAGAGGCCGGAGTGGTGGCGTCCGACCTTAGGGGACCGAATTGACGAGGAGCGCAGGACATGGGAAGGAGATGTTGTCAAGCGATGCACCAGCAGGATTATATGGTTGAAGGGGGTCTGTGAAGGCGGAGACGTGCGGCAGTTCCTGTTGTGGGATAGCGCTGGAAGCCATACCTGATCAGGGTGACGCTAAACCACTACGACGGACGCGCGCTAAACCCAACATGGGGGGTTGCCGATAACGGCCCCCCTGGTAAATACGAATTGTCCTTTTTATTCTTATTCTTCTATTTATTTTCTTCTTTAAAAACTCCAGATATAGATCGATAGATCGATAGAAGAGTATGTATGTAGAAGGAGGAAGGAAGCTGGATGAAAGGAGACACGGAAATAATGGTTTCCATCAAAAACTGAGTGACATCCGCAAAGCTCCCTCATGTACAGCGTAATGTGTGTGATGGTCTTCGTCCATTCCACCTTTGGTATAAGAGCCATTTCGCGCTTTCTTTCCTCTGACCTCATTTCTATCACTGCATGATTGATCTCTGCTCTGTGTCGAAGTTCAAATACGGATGCGCTAGAGCCTATCCATGGGTTAGTTTGCTTCTTCCGTTTTCAACTCTGGGAATCCACCGATATATTTCGCATCCCAATTCAACAAAAAAAAAAAGAAAAAAGAAAAAAAGAAAAAAAAAAAAGGCGAAAAATCCTGGATGCTTTTTGATGTTCTGCCACATACCTCAGCAGCCGACAGCCTCTCGCCACTCTCATAGCGCACGAGTTTACTGACCAGATCGCGCCCGTTGGATGACGCGCCGTTGAGTATCTCCGCCCAGGGTTTCGCCGGATACTCTTTAAACTGTATCTTGCCCCAGTCTGGGAGGTCCTTGTTCGACTAAATTTTTTTTGGTTGTTTCGCAATTGAATGTTTTGTTAGCTTACAATTTCGACAGAGAAAAGAAATATATAGGAAAATAACGGTAGCAAGAGGGAGAGGAGGAAAAGGGAAACGCAAACTTACAGGCCACGATTCAGCATTCGGTGTCCCCAACTTAACAAAAATGGACTGCACCAACGCCAATTCACTCCCCAGCTCCCCCGCGTCAAACAGATGCCTGTGGTCTATATCCACCGCCTCTGCAACCACGCAGCCAGCCGCCCAAAGGTCCAGACTGGTACCATACCGTTTATCCCCAAACAGAATCTCAGGAGGCCGGTAGCATGCCGTTCCTACATCCGTGATTTTCTTATCCGCAGCTTCCGAGTCCTTATCGGTAGGCGACCAGGCGATCCCAAAATCGGCCAGATATGCCGGGCCGTTGGAGTTGCGTAGGAGGATGTTCGACGGCTTGACGTCCCGATGGATGATCCCCTGCGCATGCACGTATGCGAGCGCCCGAAATAGATCGCGCAGATGTAGCCTTATTTGATGCGTCGAGAGCACCCTTCGGTGCATGAGGTCGTCAAAGTGCAGTGGTATGAACGGGAAGACGAGAATGAAGTGGCCGTCCGGTTGGGTGAAGGTGTCGAGTAAAGGGATGACGTTGGGGTTTGAGAGGGCGCTGAGGATCCGCGCTTCGCGTTTTGAATCGTGCGGCGGCGACATTATATGCGGCGTTGTCAGCTTTAGGGCCACCGTTGCTCCGCCGTCGTTTTTCGCTTTATATACCGTGGAGAATATGCCTTCTTGGTGGTATATGGCGTTCTCATAGCGGCCGATTCTTTTCCCGCAGGAGGCAGGAGCTGCGTCTGTATTAGACCCTTCATTGACAATGACACCTTCATTTCCATTTCCATTGTCAATGACGTCAGGCACACTCATAACGAGAGCTGGCTGCTCTCGATCATCCAGGTCGTCGATGGCCTTTTGGCATTCGGATTGGTATTGCTCCTATGGAGAGAATATTCTTTTTAACCTTTTCCTACCCGTACCACACATAAAGTTTCACGCGAATCAGGAAAAAAATAACGTACTTTACTTGCCGCCTGGCTGAACGCGCTATTTTCTAACTTCGTTGCCTCCGTGTGAGCTTCTGAGAAATTGGCGGATGGAACCGCACGCTGGTACGCCGCGATTCTTTGAAGTAGAGGGGTTGGAATGGTGAGCACAGCTGCTACCCCGCGTGAAGGGATCCTGACTGAGAGCCCAAGCAAGCACTTACATTAGCCTTACATTGGCCAAGCGATCTGTAAACCCGACATCTAACATCCAATCAGAATCGGATGTCATTTTCTATCCATGGATTTTTCCGCTCTTCAGTCTTGCTTTGGGAGTGTGATATGTGAGTGTGGAAGGTAGCTAGCTAGCTGCTAAAGTTTACGCTGGCAGGGCCGGTGTCACATAGGTTAGCTTACTTCGAAGTACCTCGTCATAAAAAGTATATTCCATAAAATCATAAGCTTGTTCTTCAACGAGCATTTAAGCAGTATTTTGATAGCACAATCATAATCTGAGGGAGGCCGAGCTTTGTCTAACTAGCTCCGTCTCAGCTGTTTCTTTCCATGTTCTCAAGCTAAATATAAAATTATAAGGTAGGATGGAATGGATACCGCTGTAAATCACGTGAGTACCGCTAAGGTTGCCTGTCTTGGCGCTCAGCAGCCTTCCCAATCGGGCAAAGGAGACTTCTCCCTCTCCGCAGCCAAACCTCCGACTACCTATCCCCAGTCACTCTCCCTCCGGCCACAGCTCGGAATACCTCTCCTGCTATTATTCCTTTTTCTCTCTGTCGAATTGCATTGTATTTTGTATTCTTTGAAGCCTCCTCTCCGTTCATCCGGTTTTGTCAGAATATGTTTTTATAGATTGCATTTCGCGGGATTCGTCATCGGCTTAATACCGTGAATTCACCATGGAATTGTCGCGACAGGACTATCCGGCCATTGTGGTGAGTTAAAACGGCTCGGGAAAATGGAATTATGTCTCTTTCCCCCGCCCCCCCTCTTTGTTTGTTGCCCTTGTCTGTTGGGCGTTGTTGCTAATGAACAATGGTTCCTTTGTTTAACAGGCCTCGTTAACCCCTACCCAAGCTTCAGCCGTCCTTACCGAACGCATACGATTAATTAGCAAGATAAACTCAGATATCGCGGACTGGCTTTCGGTACTTCTTTTTCCATTTTCTTTTCGCCTCTCAATCGGGGGTTTCCTGAGCGGACTTTCCACCGAGCGCAAACTTACAATCCAAACCTAGGAACGACGACGGGTGGAAGACGCATATTTTTTGGGCCTTCGTAGGCTCGCACGACGGCAATCGCAGGATGCATCCGCAGCATTGGGGTAAGCAATTGGTGCGATGCGAAATCGATGTTGAATTGGTTATTGACAAATTATTTTTATATCTATCTATTAGGGTCTTTCAAACACCATGGCAACGCATCCTCACTGCCACGGAATCATTAGCGGAATCCCATGAAACCCTTTCGCACGGGATCGAGGCGGACGTTGAACGGCCTTTGAAGGAATATGCTACTAGGAATAACGATATGCAATCCATCTCAACGATGCAACAGGATTTGGCGAATCTGGCAAAGGAGCTTGAGTCTGCGAAGAAGAAGGCCGACAAATTAAAAGATAAAGGCCCAAAGGCTGCGGCGAAAACATCCAGTGCCGTTTTAGCTGCGCAGGAGGTGGCGCAACAATGGGAATCGAGGGCACCTTTCGTTTTTGAACAGCTTCAGGCTGTCGATGAGCACCGCCTGAACCACCTCAGAGATGTTCTCACCCAGTTCCAGACTCACGAGGCAGATCACATCGAAAGAACTAGACGATATACTGAAAGTTGCCTTAATGCGCTATTAAACGTTCAGACCGACGAAGAGATTACAGCGTTTACTACGAAGGTAACAGGCGGCAGGGCTCCTGTCTCGAGAACAACAACGACGGATGCTGCAGCGACAACCTTACCCCCTTCGTCAGGCCAAATTCCAGCTGCCACTGGAGAACCTTTACGTCCCCCACCTAGAATCCATGACGATGCGGCTAGCCAGCGTTCCGGTCGATCGAACAAGGGCAGACTTGGTGCTGGTGAGTCATCGCTACTGAAAACTGACATAATTGGAAAAGGACTAACAAAATAATAGCACCCGAGCCGGTCGGGCACATGAGGCTTGGTGGCCTGAAACGGTTGGGTACTGTCATGGGCCGAAGAAAGAGTATTGTACATCATTCAACTGGGAACTCAGGTTCTCCGGAGAGGAAATTCCGGTCCCCATTCACCGCGTTCCGAAAGTCGGAGTCAACTCGAAACTTCCAGCAAGTTGAAATGCAACATAACCCCAGCGATTATCTGGCGCCAATTACCTCCAGGGATGATCTGTCGCTTCGCCGCCCTGCTTCCTCGCCTAGAGAGACAGCCCGCAGCGACTCGATTTCAGCATCGCATCAACGACCAACGACTCCCAACGGTGCTGGTGTTCCTGAAGAGAGTTCTATCCCAGAGACTACTGGGAAACATGGCAACTCCATGGAGCAAGCTCCGGCTACAGCCCAAGTATGATTACCAGCTCCGCAAATTTTCACGCACTGTTTTGCTGACTTTCCACTTTTCCACAGCCACCTAGAATAGATGCTGAGGGATATTCCGAGCGGCCGGCTAATCTTGACGAAATAACGCGACTTCAAAAAGAAGCTGCTGCTGCGTACGTTTTCTCTCTTCTTTGTTAGGAAATTAAGTGACTTACAGATGATTAGTGCCGAAGAGCCCGGTCTAAACCTCACTATTCGTGACCAACCTATCGAGGAGGACGAGGGTGAAGCGAAAATGGCTTTGAACGAGGTGGCGAACACCTTGCGATTGGTGAGCCGTGCCAGTTCTCCCTGTTTAGGTACTATGAAGCTAACCCCATTATTATAGAAAGCACAACAATCCGGCCTATCTCGTGGGGTTGGAACGTTGCGTGGACGCCGAGAGGTTAGGAACACCATTTTCGTCCCGAATCCACCCAGCGAAGATTCAAGCTTGAGCCCACTTCCCGGTCTAGTTGCGGGACCACCACCCGTTTCCCCATCGCACGTTCCCAAGATGGTCGCATCTCCTCCTAGTAGTCACGATGACCACGCTTTGTCGGATACAACGTCCATCCATTCGTCACAAACCCTTCATAGTCTGTCAGGACCTGTTTCACACCCTGATATGCCCGAGCCTGGCCTTAATGCATCCATTGTGGAAACGGTCAATGCCTGGTTCTCTGATGGCGCTGTTACCCGCTCCTTCGTTGTTGGAGAACTGGCTCTGGCGTATAACTCGACCACGAGCCCCCCTTCGGATCCTGAGCTTGTCCGCCTAAATAATTTCGACTTATTAGAAAAAGTCGCGGCAAATCCTATCCTCGCCACAGAAGCCGGACACTCCTTGAAAGGCAAGGAGAAGGAAAATGGCTCCGGTAACGAGGAAAGGAAGGGGGAATATCTAATCTCGCTTCCCAGTATCGCACGATCCACTCCCACGGTTGCTTTCAAATATCAAATACATCTCAATCCTTCTAACTTCTCGGCCTATTGCCCTATTATATTTAACCCTGTTTGGAATTTGGAAGAATTCCAAGCCAGCGTTATCATTACTTATTCAATAAACCCCAACTTCATTTCTGCAGAGTCATCCACACCTATCACACTTAAGAATCTCGTGCTCACCGTCAACCTGGACCTATCCCCACAAGAAGACGAAACCACCAAGCAGCCTCGCGAAGTTGCTCGCGCCACGGGAGCAGTCATGTATCCCAACACTGGCGCTACGTTCCGCCGCAAAACATCAGCCGTCACATGGAGAATGTCAGAGTTGGAAGTAACCACGGCAGGCGACCAACGGTTCCTCGCTCGATTTTCAACAACGGTGAGCGGACCCCGCAAGGGGAGAGTCGATGCCAAGTTCGACGTCCTGAATGCCAACAGCGGAGACAGGCTGGGTATCAGCGTTCAGACTTCTGGCCATAAGCAGGACAAGAAGGCCGATGACCCGTTTGCTGATGAGTCTCTGGCGACGGGTAATGGGACGACGGAATCACCAGAACCCAGCCCCGCATCGAAGACATGGGAAGAAGTCTCTACACGACGAATACTAACGGTGGGGCGATATATCTCTTTCGGATGAATTTCCTTATTTCTCCCTTCCTTTCTCTATTTTCCCCTTCTTCAAGTATGATATGTTCCTTTACCACCGAATAATGTGGAAATTTTTGTATTCTTATTCTGGCAGGCGGGGAGAAGATTGCGGTAACGGATGGATATATTGAGGCGGAAACAAAATGAATATTTCCCCTCATAGCCTCTTCTTTTGTTTGCTATTAACACTGCTCTTTCTTTTTCTTTTCCTTCCTTGCTTCTACTTTCCAGCTTAGAACAAGACACCACTTTCACTTTTCTGGGTTTTCTTTTTGTTTTCTTTTCTTTTTTTTTTTTTTTTTGTCTCTGCTTTTCACTCTCTTACTTCTTGAAGAATAAAGATTTCCCACTCATAACTAAATTTGGGTAACTTAATTCAATTGCGAAGACTGCCCTGCTTCTCCCTGAATACCTTCTCCTTTTTCAGTGGCGTCCCTAACACCCTTTCTTAATAATGCAGTTCCTGTGGTTTTCCCTCATCTATTTTATCATTCTTGTCAACATTTATTAAACTCATTATTGTTCTTATTCATTCAAGCACTCTTTATGCCCCGGTGGCCGAATGGTTAATGCGGCCACCTGGTAGCGCCTTGGTGTGGGAAACCAAGGCGTGTGGGTTCGAAACCCGCAGGGGATACATTAAATCCGGAACCCAAGCACCTCAGGTTCCTAATAAATACAGAGGTGTACAAATCGCTCCAATAAATCGCTCTATGTTCCTGGGCTGGGAAGTTATTATCGCATGTATCTAATTGTCACTCCTTTGTATTTCCTATGTTCTTGTTATCTTGGCGTGGTCTCAACACCTGTATTTCCTCCTGTATAACCAACACTTGGCCTGTATTTAACATCACGCAAGGACTCATCATAAGCTCCGCTTGCATATGAGTATAATGGAAGAATAATAATAATAATAATAAAGCACTCTTTATTTTCTTTATTATTCTGCTCTGATTTCAGGTATTGTAGTTAGAATTATGAAATTTTCAAAGAAAGAAGACTCAATTGAAGCTATAACTGATTTTTAAACTTCAATCTCACTTATTAACTGAGTGAAGAACTGCTGATTAATTTCATTTCTGATGTTGAAAATGAGATTTGAGTACAGCTTGTTTTTCTGAAAAATCTTTCTATTTAAGACTTTGAAAATGAGTTTTCTATTTCTTAAGATATGAAAGTTTTTCTTTTTTGCATTTATTTCTCTTCTTTTTTATATTGTAAAGAGTTTTTATATTCTGGGCAGAAATTTTCTGATTTTGCATATCTGAAATTGATAAATGTATAGTAGTTAACTCTATAGATATTAGAAAAACTCTGAGAACTAAAAGTTCTCAGATAGATGTCATAGTCTCTGACTGTATACATCTATAATTGAAGAAGAAGAATAATAATAATAATCTTCTTTTTTATAAAGAGGTATATAAGCATTATTCTTCTGAGTTTTTTCAGAATTTCAAGCAGATTTTGAGATAACAGGTTTTGAAACAGTAGATTCTGCTGCTTATACATATGTTTTCTTCTGATTTGAAGAAGAAGAAGAAGAAGAAGAGTTAGTAATTATACTAGAAATTTTCAAAAATTTCTGAACTGTATTTAAAATTTCAAATTTAAACTTAATCATCTTCTGTAGTTATCTAGTCTAAGTATGAAGAATTAATAGAACTTCTTTATTCATCTCAATTAAACACTGTTTTTCAAGAATTTTATCAGCTTTTTCAAGTTCTTGTATTTTAAGAACTTATTATTTCTTCATTTCTTCTTTCTTTCTTCTCTTCAGAATTTCAATCTCAGAAATAGTATCTGAGAAAACATATTTTTCCACATTAACTTAGTGTATTTTTAAACTCATTTTACTTTCTCAATGAAAAGTTAGTCAGACTGTTTCAATTAAAAGATTTATTAGTCTATTTTAAATTGAAAAGTTAATTAGACTATTTTAATTGAAAGATTTATCTATCTATTTTCAATTGAAAAGTTTATCAGACTATTTCAAAAGATTAAAAGACTTTTATATACAGAATATCTGATTTTTTTTTACACTAGTTCAGTAACTAGATTAGATTTTCGCCCCGGTGGCCGAATGATTAATGCGGCCACCTGGTAGCGCCTTGGTGTGGGAAACCAAGGTGCATGGGTTCGAAACCCGCAGGGGATACATTAAATCCGGAACTCAAGCACCTCAGGTTTCTAATAAATACAGAGGTGTACAAATCGCTTCAATGAATCGCTCTATGTTCCTGGGCTGGGAAGTTATTATCGCATGTATCTAATTGTCACTCCTTTGTATTTTCCTATGTTCTTGTTATCTTGGCGTGGTCTCAACACCTGTATTTCCTCCTGTATAACCAACACTTGACCTGTATTTAACATCACGCAAGGACTCATCATAAGCTCCGCTTGCATATGAGTATAATGAAAGAATAATAATAATAATAATAATAGATTAGATTTTTAAAGAGAATCTAATAAATTAATAAAATCTTTACAATCTCTTTCTTGAGATACAGTGAGGAAAAGTATAATGATAACTGATAATTAGATAATATAACAGTTTTTAAGAGAAAAACTGACAAGAAATAAGTTAATTTTTTGCAGAGAAATTGATTAAAACTATTTAATTTTATTCTAAATTATTCAATTCTTCTCACACAACAAGTATGCAACTCAAATCAGTTAATAAACAGTGTAAAAAAGAATTAAGTATTAATAAAAGCTCTTCAGTCACTGAATAAGTAAATCTTACTTAAAAGAATGTGAAATTATGACAGAAAATAACTCTGTTTTTAATTTTTTATAAGAATATTATGTAAAACTCAGAGAAAAACACTATATTTTTTCAAGAGAAGTAAAAAAATAATTCTGAGATCTTTTTTTACATTAACTGCTACAGAAGAATAAGATAAAAACTTCTAAAATATATACTATTATTAGACTGACTGTGTGACTGTGTCTGAAACCAGAACCAGAATTTTTAATAGTCTCATTGCTAATTTAACAGATCTCATTACACAGTTCTAACATTAGATAGTAGTCTCATACTGTCTCAGTGAGACTTACTATCTACTCTTATCACATTTTTCAAATAAGATCATGATTTTCACTTCTCAATTTAAATTATTTTTGATACTTTAAATAATGTTAAATCTCATTTGAGTGTTATTAAAAAGCATTACTTTTTAAAAAATTAAAAATAGTCTAAAAAAAATCTTAAAATGTCTAAAAATAGTAACTTTATATCAAGAATGAAACTAAATGAGATCTAATGAGATCACTTTCTCATTTTTTTCAAGTCATGATTTCATTTTGAGATCTGATCTATAGTCACTTTGCATGTTTATTTAATGATTAGTCTCAGCAGAATTCATACTAAGAAATGTATAGAATCAGACTAAATGAAATCAAACATGAAATTCATAGTCTCAGTAATTAGTCTAACTATTGTATACTTTCTATCAAGACTTTTACTCTTCAGAGTCTTAATATTATAGAGAATATAAGTCTGTTTCTATATAATGATATAAATATTATCAACAGAATGTAGAGGAACTGATTATTTATATCTTAAAATAGAAGACTTTGTAAATAATTATATTAATATAGAGTTAATTCTTAAATTCAATAGAAATCTAGTATTACTATTCTTAATCTCTTACACAATTCATTGAATATTGAGGTATTAAAACTAGATTTAATATATCTCACTAGACTGACCGTGTGACCGTGTCTGAAATCAGGACCAAACTTTACAGTTGTCACATTGTCTAAAAGCATTACTTCTGATCATGGTTTGTGTTCATCACATTAATCTCAAATCCTGTTATTTCAAATATTAAAGATTTCAGATTCACTTTTCAAATAAAAATCTAGTTCTAGATAAAGAATATGTTTGAATTCTTAGTCACATTTTCATTCTGATCTCATTATTGAAAATGACATCAAATGAAATCATGAAATCATTTCTCACTTACATAATATCATAACATAGTGCTCATTTGTTGAAAATTCAACAGAGAGTATTATCAAATATTATTACTTTTCTGAACACAGATTATAATCAATATTATTTTAATTAAAAAAAAAATGTAAAATACAAAAAATAACAAAAAAATAAAAAATAAAACAACAAGAAAAAATCACAACAAAAAAAAAAAAAAAAAAAAAAGAGAAAGAAAAAAAGAAGAGAAAGAAAAAGACAGAAAGAAAAAGAAAAATTAAAAAAAAAAAGAAAAGAAAAAGAAAAAAATAAAAAATAAAAATAAAAAAAAATCAAGATTGCAGAGCTGCAGTACTCTTAAAATACTCACTTCTCAGAGTCTTTGCAATGTTTATTATCAACTGTGTATCTCTCACAGTGAGAGTAACACAGCTGTGATGAGTCATTGTCTTAACATCATCTAATAAATAATCAGTATATATCTATATAAATGTGAATAATTAGAAAACATACACTCAAAAAGTGTGATCAGAGTGGACTCTGCTGCCACTTGAATGATATTAAGAACAGAATACTGAAATTGATGATTTCTCTCATTGATTTCACAGATAAGATATGTGAAAATGATCTTGAGAAATATAAGATTCTCTGACTTCTGATAGAAATGAATCTCACAGAGAGACTCTATTTTCATTATATCAGAGACTGAGTGTTATTAAAAAGCATTACTTCAATGCACATGCACTTACTGCAGTGATTCACTCTCTGCACATGTGACTGAGAGTTGCAGCTTTCTCATGCTGCACAGCTCTCTCTGAGATGCTGCTGTCAGTTTGTAATTCATGCAGTCTCTCAGTTCAGCATGCACTGTGTATATACAGCTCTGTGTGCTGAGGCTGTGTTGGTCATTATGACCTGATGTGGTACTCACTTTTCACAGGCCATGTTTCATTTGATTGAGGAGGAGGGAGGAACATGACTGCTGTTTTATTTGAGAGAGAGTGAGTAATTGAATCTGTAGAAGATAATTTAGTTTCTTCTACATTTGAAATTTAATTAATCTATACTCTTCAATTTGAGAGTTTCTGAGAGTGTTTTAATAGTTTTCATACCAGCTTGAAATTAGTGATTGATTGAAGAAGAGAAAAGAGAGAAGAAAGAAATGAGAATAACTTATCTTTATAATATAAAAACAGAGAATTATTGTAATCATTTATTCTAGCAACAAAGATCTGTTTTCTGCATGTATCTCTGATACAGATTATATAATAACTGTATACAAAGAATATCAACAGTGCATGCATTAAATGAAGATGATATTGCTATACAACACTGTAGCTGTTTCTGTACATCACTGAAAGCTGTTAATATTTTCTTTAAGTCTCTTTATATTTGATAAGTCAGTAATAAATTTCAATGCACTCTCTCTTTTATTATCATCATTATCATTATTATCATCATCATCATTATCATCATCATCATTATCACTATCATTATCATTATTATCATCATCATTATCATCATCATCATCATTATCATTATTATATCATTTCTGACTGTCTCTTCTGCCTTCACCTCTTTTCAACACTCACTGAAATCAATTATGTTATCTCTCTTTAAATATTCTGTGGTTCTGCAGATCATCAAGGCGCGTGAGTACTGTCACAGATTGAAGAGAGAGAAGAAGAAGATGTTCAAGTGAGAGAAGACAGATTTCAAGACATGTTATGATGTCTTGAAGAGGCTCTGTAAGAGAGTAGAATAATAACAATTTTAAGTAACACTTCTGATAGATTTAGACTGAACTAAGTATAGAAATAATGCAGATGACATCATCTGTGAGAGATTGAAGAAGAAGACAGTGAAGAGTCTCATGCAGCAGTGATAGAATCAGGAGAAGTTCTGAGAATGATTTGAGATCAAGATGAAGAGAGAGAGAGAGAAGAAGAGTGTTACTGTAAATAAGCAGTAACAGAAGAAGATTGAGAAGATGTTAAAGTGAGAGATAAAGAAGTCAAAACTGATAAGTTTTTTATTTATTGAGAGATAACAATTTTTGATAATACTTCTGTTCTCTAATTGATTAGCAGGAGCTGATAGAGAAGAAGAGGATTGAGGCCTTGTTCAGGTCTTGAATGTGCTTCATGATTCAGAATATTGAGAAGACAGCCCTGCTCTCTGAGCATGTTAATCTGCTTGCTGCTGAGGTGGAACCTGAGACAGCAGACCAGAAAATGTGGGATTTTGAGACACAGATTGACCTGGCTGAGAGGAAGCAGTGAGAACCCTTCTCTGAGAAGGCAGTGAAGAGAGATTTTAAGATAATTATTATCTCAGATAAGAAGAAGAAGAAGGAGAAGAAGAATGAGAAGTGAATTATGAAGAATGATAAGAAGAATGAGAAAGAGAAGAAAGATGATGAGTAGAAAAAGTTTTTTTCTTTTTATATTAGTTAGTTTAGTTGTAAGTTCATAATTATTAATAATTGAAATTAATTTTGAGTTTTTAAAAATTATTATACAAGTTGTAATCAAGTCAGGAACAATATATATATATATATATATATTTAACTATCATGATTCACAAATCACTATAATGTATAAGTATCAACATTTTTTCAACATTGATATTCACAATATTAATATATTTTTAATGATATTATCTGATAATGTAATTTAGTAACACTCTCTTTCACAATATTAATATATTTCAAGAAATATGACAGAGATTAATCAAGATTGTTTATTTACTTTTATACATCAATGATATTCAATCTGAGTTAGTACTAAAATTATAACTAAGCTAAGAAACAAGATTATTTTCTCTTATATTAATTCTTCTTACACACATCAGTGATCAGTTATTGAAAATAAATTATTATCTTTCTCAAATTATTATCATGTCTTCTGAATTCACTTCTTTTACTTCTATTGAAGATTCACAAACTCTTCAAGAAATCACTGTGAATTACAAAGTCTATGTTATTTACAATTCAACACAGAATGCTCTCTTTCAATCATGATAAATAATTACTTCATTCTTCACATCTGATTCCAGGTCATGAAATTTATGAAAAACTCAACACAAATATCAAGATAAACTATGAAATAATTATTAACAGGTTGTATTACAGATTACTGAAGAGTCATCTCTCTGCTATAATCACTGTAACTTCATTCAGAAACATTCATTATAGACTGATTATGACTCTGAAGGAATTTTCTGACATCTGAAGTCATCAGAATGCAGACAATAAAAGAAAAATAATCAGAAAATTACTACTGAGCTGATAAGTTACTCTATCAGATAATGATTTTTGATAATGCTAACTTTCTAATTTGAAGAAAATCATGTAAAAATGACTCTGTATCAGTACTCTGATTTCACAACTCTTATCTGATAACTTTCATGAACAATTACTTTGTATATATATATCTCTGAATCTTTCTCTTCAATCAATTGAAAACCCCGAATTTCAAATACTTCTTCAAATGCTTAATTCAAATC